TTGGACTGGGAGTCTCTAGCTTGCCACATCTGGGAGTGTTTACAAAGTGCGGATGCTTAGATCCTACCCAAGCCAACTGAATCAGAGCGTCTAGGAGGCAGGAGTCCTGGGGAAGGGCTATTTCTAAAAGTCCCTAGGTGGGTTTAATCTATAACTTAGAAATACTGTTTTGAAAAAATAACCAAACACTACCATTAAGGGTGTAAGCAGGGACTAATTAATCATAGCTGAGCAGGAACAAGGAGGATGTAGGGGAAGTGGCATTTAAATGAAACCAAAAAGGAATCTGTAAAACAAACAAGGGTGGAGAAGAAAATTCTGGACAATGGGGTCAGGGAAGTTGAGGAGAACAGCCTGTGGCAGGTGCAGGGAACTATTTCTCCCACTGCAAATCCCAGGACCAATCTGTGGGTGAGGGTCACCTAAAAGGGGGTGGTGGCCCAAGAAATCTGTGTTCAGGATGTCTCAGGAATTGGAGGAGCAACATTGTTCACCGGCAGTAGCCAAGCTCTTCCATCATTGGGTAACGGCTCTTTCTACCACTGGAAAATGACACAGGTCCCGCTAATCATTCACTCTTTCTGCTCTGTTTTCAGAAGTCAGTTTGGCTCCAAGTTTGTCATTTGAGGGCCCAGTAACATTAACTGTTTTGAACTGCCTCTCCCCTGTGAATCCAAGATTCTGTGTGTCTACATATGTTGCCTCAGGGGTAGGGGTCAGGAGGCAGGGCAGGCGATAGTCTATGTACTGGGAGCCTAAGCACCCACCTGCAAACCACCCTCTTATTTAAGTTTTGAGATGTGCATTCTACCTGCTGCAACCCCCTCACTCGTCCCAGCACTCCAATGTTGTGAAATGGCCACACTATTAGTGATCCTGATCCCCTGACACTAATTCAGGTAATCTCATCCCAAGACACTTACTAGTTCAGGGGTTTGCTTAGCCTTGGCCTAAGGCAGTGGTCTTGGCCTTTGCCATTCTGATGGCCAGCTGACAGGAATGGCACACGCTCAGCTGTCCAGAGGGAAGTCTCTCCTTCAGTTGCTACGAAGAAGCCTGCAGGCCCTGGGGTTTCTGACAGCCATTTTGTATTAGGGGAAAACAGCCTGGAAAAGGGTAAAACTGGGTTCTGTCTAAAACCTCTCCTATTCTTTTTGGGAATCAAAACCTGCTTCCCTGTTTCAGGCCAGGAGTAGTTAGAGGGGCAGGTGAGTCACCTTTGTTTTTGTACTACAGGAGATGGCTCAAAGGAATTGTCCAGGTGGTGGTTAGGAGATTTTCATAGCTGAAGGTAGGGGGAGTCAGGGCCATCAACTATAGTTGAACAGCAACAGCCTGAAATTGCTCCCCCTCCATATCTCATCATTCTGCATATAAGTCTACAGTAGATCCCTCCTCATGCCTACCTCTCTGTGCAGGGCCTGACCTCTATTCAGAAGTGGGGCCTGTCTCCAGGCCCCTTGGATGTGGGCTGGCCTTTGAACTTACTCTCACCAACAGAATGGGACATGGGAAGGTACTCTGACCTCCAACCTCACCTTAGCAGCTATGTGGTGTCCACTTTTGCCCTCTTGGGGTCCAGCTGCCAAGTTAAAGAGCTCATGCCAAGCCACTGGATGATGACCATCCACACAGAGAGGGACAGGGGTGGCCTATCCCCAGGTCTGCATCCACTCATCTGAAACACCAGACGTGTGACTGAGGCCATTGGAACCTTCTGGTCCCAGCTGAGTATCAGGAAGAACAGGTGCACAACCAATCCCAGTCAACACCAGGTGGAGCAGAACCAGCCCCCAAGTGCATCCTGGGAAATCCTAGCTCATTGCTGTGTAAGCTCCTACATTTGTGGTGGTTTGTGCACAGTAGAAAAAAATAACTGATTTAGAGGGTATCTTGGGTTGTTCAGGCTGAAACAACAAAATAATTTAGATGGTAATTTATAAATAACAGAAATTTATTTCTCACAGTTCTGGAGGCTTAGAAACCCAAGATCAAGACACCATTAGATCTGGGATCAGACAGGGCTCTCTGCTTCACAGATGGCACCTTCTACGTGTCCTCACGCAGCAGAGGGGGGAGGCCCCCCCTGGAGCCACCCTTAAAAGGGCACTGATCCCATTCCCAGTCACCTCCTATAGACCCCACCTCTCAGTACTATTGCATGAGGGATTAGGTTCCATACGTGAATTTTGGGGGGAGATGCAAACATTCAGACCGCAGCACAGGGCGAGTTAGATTTTCCATTATTTTAATAGAGTTCTGATTTGTTTTTGTAGGTTTAGTTAGGATGCTGACCTATGTTAGAAACAGGAAATTCAACTCACCTGGTTTAAATAAAGATATTTATTATCTCTCGGCTAAGGCGCCAGCCACGTACACCTAAGGTGGCGGGTTCGAATCCCCAGCCCGGGCCTGCCAAACAACAATGACGGCTGCAACCAAAAAATGGCCAGGCGTTGTGGCGGGCACCTGTAGTCCCAGCTACTTGGGAGGCTGAGGCAGGAGA